CCTGGGAAGATTTATTTAGGTGAGAGTAGCGGAGTACACTGGCAGTATCAAATACACTAACAGGAGTAACAGGGAACCAATAGTGTCTGGATGGCGTGGTGCATGGCTGTCATCATTCATGCTTGCTTTGTGAGAATACAAAAAGATGCTCCTTCTTCCAGGCTAGCACAGTCCATGCCAGAATCATGGCTTGGAGAGTAGAGCAAGAGCCAGACTATATCCATTACCATGACATCTATTTTGAATCCCACATAGCAGTTCTGGACCAGTGTCTTTGGCAAAATGAAGCTCCCACCGGAGGGAGATCAGCAGGCAGAACTGTGTTTGTGTAAAAGCACACAAGGTCATCTTGCTTTGAGTGGTGGGATGGCCTGGGCTTCAGCTCTAAGCGAGATGAGGGAATTCATTTAAATATGCCCTTAGCAGACATTGAATGCTATGCATTCCATTAGATTATGTGAATAGAGAGGTTAAGAGAGAAATTAGACATAGTCACTGCCTTTAAGGAATCCATTGTTCAGGGAGGAAAGCATAAGTAAACACATAAGTGAAAAATATTATGATGAACATCCATATATAACATGTTTTCATTTATGTTTGACTCTTTATGTGTCTATTTCTCCTATCTCACTCATCTTTAATAAAATATTAAATACCATATTATATAGATTATGTATAAAACTGCATATATATTAAAGTATATATATTTTGTGTGTGTGTATATAGACAGATCAATAGAGAGATAGAGATAGAGAGAGAGAGACAGAGGGAGCAGAGAGAGAAAGAGAGGAGAGGGATGAGAACCACAGAAAAGAGTCCAAACTTTTTTGGGATAGGACACAGAAAGGTCCAAAGAAGAAGAAACATTTGAGCAGGGCCTTGAAGAATGAATAGAATTTTATAAGGCATATGAAAGGAAGTAGAATTTCAGGTAGAAGGAGAAGCATTATTAGCAACATATAATTATGAAAAATTTGATGGTATGTGAGAAAACTGTGACCAGTTTTGTAGCATGGGAAAATGGGATACATGTTTGATAGAAGTGAGATAGGAGAATTAAGCAATTTATCTCATAGAGGGCCTTGTATCTCAAGCTATTGGGTTTGACTTAGTAATGTTTTTACAGAATGCCAATGTCCATAAGAAATTATATATGTTTTGTGAAATATACAAGAGTCTTTAGACAAATAAACTTGAGAATTGATATATATCATATGGTATACCCTTCCATGGAGTTTGGCAATATATTAAAAAATCTAGTAGTAAAAACAATAATAAAATAATGCGTTTAATCTTGTTTCACAAATACTTGGAAATTGATATCTTCCTCTCACCTCAAACATTGAAAACCTATTAACAACTCTGAGAACATATTTCAGGAAACTTTCTAAAGACATTAGTATAGTCAGATACATGTCAGCAAAATGAGTGTTGGCTGCGTGGAGAAAAAAATGCAGCAGCAACAGAAAAGGCTGGGTGATCTAGGGAGGCGATGATGACGGTTTGAGAAAATAAAGCAAACAAACTAGGGAGAAGTTGCTATATTTTGAGAGCTCTTTTGAAAAAAATATGTATGACTAAGAGGTGTGGGGCTAAAGAAAAAGGAAGAGTCATGCCTATAAGTTTGGCTTAAATCTGAAAACACCATAAATATGAACACTTAAGGTGATTCCTCGGCATTTCAACAACTTCTTTCTGCCCGTCTTGTATGATATTCAGAAGTTCCACAAAGAAGAAAGTGGGTTTCTAGCTACCTATTAACTTTATTTTTAGAAGGAGCATATTGTCTTTGATAACCAGAGTTCTAGAGACAAAATTGAACCAACTAATAGGGCTTGTAGAATCCAGTATGAAGACTGTTCTTAGGGCACGACACCTAGGTTGCTCTCCAAGGTGCTGAATCAATTTGTATGGTTCTGTGAACTTCGCTGCTTCTGGTGCCTTTCTCCCTCTGAGTGTGTCAAACTCAGCTCTCTTATAAAGCAGCAGCCTTGTCCCAGACTGATGTCCCAAGACACAATTTAGCTACTATTTTGGCTTCCTGCCCTTGCCAGGACTAGCTGACTGACTTTTGATCAAGACAACAGCCTGATTTCTCATCTGGACTCCTGGCAGAGCAGCCACAAGCTGCAGCCTGCATCTACAGAAGTTGAAAATATCCTGACAGGTAGGTAAATATTTCCTCTTGAAATAAAATTGGCCAGCCAAGGAAGCAGGTAATTTGTTATTGTGGATAGTTGGTGAGCTGTAGAAATTCATTCTCAGGGTTTGTTTTAGTGTATCAGGTCTCAGGAACCTGAAGTTTCCCCTTGGCAGGCAGCCTCTTGGCTACTGGCTTATATTGAGCTCAGCCTTCTAAGGGACACACTTAGGAAATCAAAATGTAGTAGAAAAAACAAATGCTATCTCAAGTGCTATAAAGTGGCCTGTATTTAGTATCAAATAAGTTAAATGCATTAGGGACCCAGAAAAGGAAAGATTATCATGGGCTGACATAATTAGGGAAAGCCTCACAACGGAGGTGGAGAATGACCTGAGCCTTGAGGTACACAAGTAGACTTCATATAGACCAAAAAAAAAAGAGGGTGTGCATTAATCACAGCATCATAGGTGTGGAAATGCCCATGACACATCCTAGAGATAATAAATACTCACTTCGTTCAGCCCAGAGCTCCCTATCATCTCTATGCATAGTCTAGCTTATACTCCCCATTCACATCCACATGGAACCCCACTGCTACTGTACCTTTCCTCACAGTGATTTTATTATTTGTCTCATATAAAAGGAATATTTTTTCAAATACATTGACATTTGGAAGAAAATAATTTGATGGCCTCGCCCAAGTGCTTTTGATATTTTCTAGAGGCATATTCTTCAAGGTGTAGGGAGCCTCTTAAAACTTCTGTTCCTCAAATCACAGCACTGACTTTACATCTTGGGTGACTTAAGAATGGTGAATAAAATATAGCTCCCATCTTGTAACAAAGCACATCATAGTGCAAACAAGAAACATTTAAAGATACACAGAAAATGCCGGCAGATAAAAGAAATAATCTGGAAGTGTGAGATTTGATGGGAGAAACTGGAAGACTTCATAGATAAAAGATATTCTTTTCTTTTTCTTTTTTGTTTTTCCTTTTTTTTTTTTTTGATGGAGTTTCACTCTTGTCATCCAGTTTGGAGTGCAATGACGCGATCTCAGCTCACTGCAATCTCTGTCCCCTGAATTCAAGCGATTCTTCTGCCTCAGCCTCCTGAGTAGCTGGGATTTCAGGTGCACACAGCCATGCCCAACTAATTTTTGCATTTTTAATAGAGATGGGGTTTCACTGTGTTGGCCAGACTGGTTTCAAACTCCTGACCTCATGTGATCCACCCATCTCAGCCTTCCAAAGTGCTGGGATTACAGGCAGGAGCCACCGCGCCCTACCAAGAAAAGATTTTCTTAAGTTGATTTTCAAAAACTGTCTCCAAAGACACTCTTTTAAAATTAAATTATGAGATTTACCTAAAATTCTACATAGCAGAATTTCAAATGGCAATCTGATGGAGGTATTTTGCAGCACATATTTTCAGACCATCAATTTCCAACATTTCCAGAATTTTCAGACATTTATGTAAGAGAAATAGGCAAGGAAAGCACTAGAGCATCAAAGACACAACCTCAGGAACCTGATGGGACCAGCACAGAAAACCTCTCTTCTTTAGAGTTTGACTTCTGAGCAGAAGCAGACAGAATGGCCGAGAACTTTATTTATGATGTAAGAGGCACTATGAAGGTGAGGTCAGCACGGTATTGGGCCAGTCTGCACCAGGATTTAGGTATTGGATGGATTATTGTATTTCAAGAATATGAATACCTTAAATAAATTGATCAATACAATTCAGTATTATTTAATCAGTCACTTAAGTTATGATGGTCAAATACAACATAGACCTTTCAAACAGAAAACACCTGGAAATTCTATCTACACATTGATAAGCCAAAAGGTGAAATCAGGTGTGAAGACAGACTGCAAATATTCACCAGGTTTCTCGAATCTGGCTCGCTGTGCTCCTCATCCCCATCCTTTCAAGAGAACCCTGAATAACAGTCAACTTTCTGGCTGGTATAAAGACTATTCTGAATTGCACATCCATCATCCATCAGTTCCTCACTATCTGTATTTCTCTTGACAGTTACACATATTCTCTCTTCCTTATTTATTCATGTCTTTGACTCTCAACACTCATTTAATTAGGGACACACACATGCACACTCTTCAGGGCTCCTTTTCCTTTTCTTTCCTTCTAGCTTTTGACTCTTTAAAATTTGTCCATTTGTCAATTTACAGAAAAATTCCCATTTCCATTTTTTCACTTTGTGCCACAAATAATCCTAATAATTGTGCTTTTGTCTTTTGCACAGGGCATCATGGAAGGTCTCTCTTGGGAATTCTGAGCCACTGCGAGTACACACAATTAGGTCTCAGGTGATCAGCTTCAGAAGTGCAGGGATTAAAAATAATGCTCTAGGAAAGCCTCAAAGTTGAACAGCTAAAAAAATTATTTCAGGGCTTACATTGTCTGAAAAATATACTCAAGGTAAAACAGGTTATTTGCTGATCTTGCCAAACCCATAAAGTACTACTGCACTCAAAAGAAAGCATACAAGATCACTTATTAGTGTTTCTTATCATCTCTGGACAAGCAGGGCTCATGCATCTCTAGGTATCAATCATGTCTCTGTTCATTTTCTGCCCTTTTTTGTAATTTTCTGCCTTTGGCTGTTATTCAGGGTTCTCTTGCCAAAATGAACAAAAGACAGCTGCTACCAAGAGTAGCACATTTTGGGTATTACTTTTTTTTTTTTTTTTTCTAAAAGAAATTCAGGTATAAAGAGGTGAAGGGCCGCTGGTGTGGTTTTCTCAGAGTACGTGTCTAGCAAATATCTATGTAGACTAATCATCATGTGCTTATCACCCACTCAACCCTCAGTATTATATAAAATAGAGGTGCATTTTTAAATATAGGTACCAAACTTTAATTTTCATTTCACACTCAAAACTCCTGTACAAAAAGAGGCAAAGCAGGCAAAAAGTTACAATGACTTCAGCAAACAACATATGAAAACTTCAAAACAGCTTTGGGTCTGTAATGGCCCTTACAGATGTAGTGAGAAAATTGGGTTCCAAGGTTTTGAACTCTTTAAGACAAAATTCCAATGTTTATTCCTAACATTTAAAAAATATTTGTAGCTGTACAGGATACAAGATTAAATGAGAAATCTCTGAATTCTACTGCACAATTGGATCCCAAGATTGGGAGGCTTAATTTTTCTTTGGGGAAAACATGAAATTATTTTTACTTAAATGTGATGATGCATCAGTAACCTCAGTTTACCATTAATGTCTTAATTTAATGGTGATAACTAGGAACAAATGTTGATCAAGCATGATATTAACTAGTAGTTAAAAGGTAATATCCAAACCTTTCTTTCTGGTTGTTAATACTCCACCCCTAATGATTAGCACATTTGAAGACATTCATTTCCAGTTTTTTTTTTTTCACTGCTAATTTCTAGTGGTGCACAAAGAGTTTCTCAGAACAGAGTCATAACGCCAAAGTAGCAGTGCATCTGAGAAACATAATTTTTACCTTGTTGCTTTCCCAAAAATAAATATCACAGTCATGGAAAACACTGTTTATTTGAAAACAATGAGACCTCAAATATGAAATATAGTTAACAATGACATTGACACTGTTGCTAGCACTTTCCCCTAAACCACCCATAAGTCTTGGACGCATGTGCATGCAGCACACACACATACACACAAAAAAACAAAAACAAAGCAAAAAACAAAAAACAAAACAAAACAAAACAAAAACTCAAACACAGCAATCCATGATTGTTCAATGACTCCTGATGCCGGGAGGACAGCCTGTTAGAATTTGTCTCCCACAATATCTCTGGAGTGGGCACAAAGCCCATCACCTGTTAGTGATCACAGACATTCAGTTAACCTGTCCTTCCAGTAATCAGAGACAATTCAGACCCTGGACTTCTCAGAATCCATGTACTGCTGAGTCTTGGCTTTGAGACAAGGTGGCCTGGCTACATTGAGGCAGACCAGCAGCCCCTTCCATATGTTTGGTCCCATTTGTAGAAAGTCTAATTTAGAGTTATCAATGTGCTCGTCTATTTACTCTGAGCTCAATCTAATTTGACAGGTAATTCCTCACATTTTCTCCTTTAGCCAGCTGAGAGTCAGCTGTGGTAGAGACACACGAGATGGGTCCAAGTCCCTCATGAGCCCTGTGGTGGTTGGCAAGTCCTTTCCTTTCTTCAAGCCTTAATCTCCTCACTCGATAGAGGGGGAGAAATTGACCCAATGATGATAAACATTGTGTGGTTCTATCTTTCTAGTCTAGACAATTGTTGCTCAAGTGTAACAAGTGACTGCCAAATAGAATATCTCTTAAGATGAATATCTCCTAACTTTCCTCAGATGGTATGATCACATATTCTGGCTTCCTCTAGGGTTTAGAATCCATAGGTTCAAAAAGGTCTTGAAGACCATCTAGCATATTTCTATTCTGATGACAGACCCTCCATCCAAGCAGTTGTACTTCTTCAACTTGAAAATCTCCAAGTAAAAGAGCCTTTTCCTTCTCTGTGGACTGATGTTTAGATGCAGACCAGGGAATCTTTCCTGCCACTTGACTGAACTCCCTTGCTAAAACAACATAAGACAAGTGTTTTTTCCCTTTTCTTGGAGGATCCAAGGGTAGATCAGCTGGTCACTAAAGTCCAGAAAGCAATAGTGTCTTACAGCTCCTTCCTGGGATATTGCAAATAATGCCAAACTCTGATGTACTCAGACTCAACTTCTAGGATTATCATTCACTAAACGTCTGGGTGGCTCCTTCTACTGGAAACAGGCAAGTAACAATATAGACCAGACTGAGGATTTACTTAGAAGGGTTGAATCCCATCCCATAGTATGTATTCACAGCCATATGGTATAAAAGGAAGAACATGGAGCCAAGAGTGAAGCATCCTGGGTTCTAGGCCCGCATGGGAGCCATCCAGTATGACCACACCCTCTGGGTTTCATTTTCCTTAGGAGGTCAGAATCAAAGATTTTCATGGTTCCATTCGAACTAAGCTCTGATCTACAGACAGAATGACTGCAGGTTTTATAATATTGTTCATCAACAAGACAAGGTGGGACAATGCTTGCTGGATACTACTTCCTCAGGAAGAAGGGCAGATTCAGTCGTTTTATTGGCATTAACCTTATAGGCCTCTTGAAGATTGTTTTAATTGCCCATTTTAGAGACAAGGAGGTTAAGACTCAGAAAGCTTAAAAACGTTTCCCAAGATCACACTATGAATCATTAGTAAGGCCAGGAGTAAATTCAGGTGCACCAGAGCTTTCACATTGCAACAAGCTAGCAACGGGGTTGGGGAAGAGCTACTTTTTAAAAACCTGGGAAACAGAAAACATGGATTTTTTTTCCCCCTCTAAATTCCCCTATACCATTCTGGTAGCTAACGGAGTACCCTAGACCTTTTTTCTTGTAGGGTCTTCAGAGAACAGGGCTCCTATGAGGGGGTGCTGTGCACCCAGCACTCTGCAGGTAACTGTAAGTTGCTAAACTCACAAAAAACTTCAAAGCCAGAGCTCCATTTCCCTAATCCCTATAGGCAGAGGGCTGAAGCAGACAGATGGCTGTCCTGTTGCCTGAGTGCACCTCTGTGGACCTGTCTCCCAGTTCCAAGACAGCCACCTTCATCAGTCCAGTGGCAACAGCACATCTATCTATTTCTGCTGCTCTCCTACTAACTGATTAAAATACAGGAGTTTTTTTTTCTTGTGAAATTAAAGGAGAACATTAAAGGAGAACATTAGAGGGATATAAATCCAAACAGAAAAGGAATATGCTGATTAATAAAACACGTGCAAACAGAAAAGTTGCACGTGTGGACTCCAGTCTGAGGACAGAGAAGGGGTGTGCTGAATTCAGAACACTTGGGTTTAATTCTCCACATGCATTTTTCTTGGATTCCCCTCTTCCTCTGTCAAGATAACAGTTGTGTTTCTTGTAGCTGAGTCGACACAGGAAATCAAATATTTTGTGTTTCTATAAACTATACGTCCCAGAGAGATAACACGTCTAGAATTAAAATACTACCACAAACAATTAGGAATTTTTTATCATTACAGGTGTTGTTAAAGGACTCCAGTAGCAAAGATCAAAGTCTCTGAATTTTGCCTTTGGAGAAGGGGGTTTCATTTCAGACATCAAAGGTAAGGCTCTCAAGTCAATTTATGCTCTGCTGGGTTGAGTCAGTTAGGATACAAATTAAGGTCCATATATTTCAGTGACAAGAAGGAAACGGTTATGTAAATACACAAGTATTAACATCAATCTGTATTAAATTATGTAAACATATACATCTTCTGAGGTCAGCACATAGATCCTCTTCTTTGAGCAGAGCTCTACTGAAGCATTGCTCGAATCTGTTTGGAAGTCGATTCATCATTCAAGTGCTTTGTAGTGAACCTGGATGGAGACAGAATGGTAGAGGTTAGCGGCAAACAGTGCTCTGTGTAAGCTCCAGCCCATCTTTACCTTGGGAAACACAATTGATACGTGGGCTTATTTCTTTAGACAAAAATCCACACTTCAATGCTCACAGTCATTTCAGACAGATTTAATATTTGATTCTTCCTTCCAAAGGAATTTTGTATCATGGTTATTAAACCAAGTAGATATTTTACATAATCAAATAATTACACAGAGGAGATATGAGTGGTCTCATTTACCAGGGAGGTGGATTTCACAGGATTGAGTGCAGAATCCTGACCATTGAGGCTGCCCCTGCTGACTCACACGTTTCAGAATAGAGATTTGCATAGCAACATTGCCCAGAACCTGAATGTTTATGGTTCTCCACTTTCCTGGCAATGCTTAATTAACCTCATTGCCACCACAAGGGGGCACAAATCCAGGTAAGCAAACCCACAAAAATGGTGCAATCTGCAGCCTCCCAATAGCCGGGTGTAGAAATCATTTATGCAAAAGAAGGAAAAGAGAATTAACACGTAATAAAACTTTGGCCAGGTCGTGGGCACTCCATGTTAAGTTTCGTGTTACAATAACTTTGTAAAGGTAAGGTTATTGCCTTCATTTTATAGAAAAGAAAACTAAGATTCAGAGAGGTGAAATGACCTATTCCAGATCACAAGGTTACTGATTTGAGACTTGTGATTTGTGATTTCTGATTCAAACCCATATTTTGCTATCTGGAGAGCCTGTTCTCCTCTGACATCATCACAGTGCCTCCAGGAGGCACAAATTCTAACAAATCAGATGGGACTCATGGCCTAGTACAGGGTTTTGCTTGATTGAATGAAGCTGGAAAGCTCAACACATTCAGAAGTTAAAGTTTTATTCCTGTGTATAAAAAGTCATCCTGGTGTGAAATGGACACCAGGAGAAAACCTTGATTTTTCCCATAGACTCTGGAAGGCTCTTATATTAATACTAAGTCTCTTCTAAAGGATAATGACTTAGCAACTCAGCAAAACAACATCAACCTCAGGGTCTATTTTGTTCATTTTATGTGTGTCTCAGTTTCTTCATTTATTCAGTGGGGGTAACAGATCAGCCTTACCTCTCTAACTTGTGATGATTAAATGAGACAATGTGATTAGAAGTGGAGTATAAAACATGAGTGTTGTGTACATAGGTAGAGCATTATTGATCCATCCCACTTAGACTTATTGAACACTTACTGCATGTACAACACTGAGAGGAACACAGGGGAATTAAAGATGAATAAGACAACAGGGACCATAAACCTTCTAGACTGCAATCTAGTATCAGAATGATTTACATAGCAGTGTGATTCAAGCAATTCTTATAGATGTGTCAAAGCTAAAAAAAGCATCCCCTCTCTGAAACGGATTAAGCACATGCATCCCTGGGAAGAAAGCAGTTGCCTAGGCATCACTTGTTAGCAGTGAGAAGCTGAAACACGCCACAGCTGGCCAAATACTTAGGCATCTAGACAGTGGGTTCTCAATTCTGGTAGCTGCACATGTGAACCACCTGGGGAGCTTTAGAATAAACAAAGAAACACAAAATGGATACCTGAGACCCTAGCCCAGAGATTCTAATTCATTTGGTCTGAGTCGCATGCAGTCAGAATCACATGGAATGTTTTCAAAGGGTACCCACATAATCCTCAAGTACAGCCAGGTTTGGAAACCACTGGTAAAGTGGAAAGTGAGAGCCTGGAAGCCTCTTGTTCTGAGGAGTCCCTATGAGCCCCAAAGCAGTGTGGCTGAGAATTAGGTCCATGACCCGTGGGGTCACCCAAACCTGGGTTTAGGTCCTAGCTTGGCCATTTACTGTGTGACTTTTGACAAGTTATTTGACTTCCTTAAATCTCATTTTTTTTCCATTTTTAAAAAGGGGAATGATAAAAATGGTGCCGACCTCAAAAGATTGTTAGGAAGATTCAATGTGTTAAAATATGCAAGGGTTAAGTTTGGTGCTATCCACACCAGTATTTAAATGTTCAATAGCCCTGAAATGTTGGCTGTTCCCTGTGAGCCTGACACAGGGTTGAAGCTCACCTGAGGGCATTTAGCAGCCCCTCCACACTGTCTGGGGCCTGCTCCTTCAAAACTTTTATGCAGCCTTTCATCTAGAAGGAGAAAGCACAATGTTTGTTAATATCTTAGTAATACTGTCTATGCCAATATCTACCTACAATAACACATGCCTATAATGTCACATTATTTCTTCTCATAGAAATTCAACACAGAAATGACCAACGTGCTTTCCTACCCCCTCAGGCTGGTGAGCAGTTCCTCTGGGCTTCTAGAGGATTCTGTATGACTGCAATCATTATCAATTTTCATACCCTATTGTAATTGTACATTTTACTTGCCTGGCTTTAAGGACAAAGACTTGAGACTTTGATCTTGCCTTGTACTATGGAGGCAAATGCAGGGCCTTCCGTCCACTCAGTGCTCAGTTGAGATTTGCTGAATAAAATCAGAATAATTTAATGCCATTCTTCTGCCCTGAATGTTTTCTGTCCTTCACCTGTTTGACTGGCAAACCCTTAACACTTATTTTATACCCAGCTGAAGACCAGCACCTCCTAGAATCCTATTCTGACCTCATTACCCTCATTAGATAGAAGCAACCAACACCTTTCCGTGCTCCCAAAACTGCTCTGTCATTTATCAGAGAAACTTGGAGAATTTGTGCCCATATTAACTTCTTTCCTTCACTGGACCAGGAGCTCCTGGAGGTCCAGGTCTATGTCTCAACCATCTTTGAGAGGACTGATGAAGGGCCACTGTTCAGAATGTGAACTTCACAGAGGCTAAATGCCTGAGTTTCCTTCATGCTTGTTTCTTTAGTATCTTCACAAACCTAGGCAAGTGTCTTAGCTTTTTGTGTCTGTATAATACAGTTGACCCATAATTTGGGAAGTGCATGGAAACTGAATTTATATAGATTACATTTCATCATGCATATCTTGGAGTATTTTTTGGCAAGGCAAGAATCTTTCTGCAAAGCTATTCACACACTGTTATATATTGGATTTGGTTATACTAAGGGCCCCTTTTGTGACAGCCCTTAGAAACATTCTCCATCATTGTGCTTCTTGTATGTCAAAAGCTTTATCTTACAGGCCTGATAGACCCTGATAGACTGATGGAAGCTACCAGAACACAGGGTTGAGAATCGTGAGGATCACTATAGGTTTATCAAAAAAGAAAGCCATGGCAAACGAGAGATGTCTGTCATGCATACTGGATTGGGAGAAGCTACAAGCATGCCAGGTATGTGCCACCCCAGGCCTGAGATGGCATCAGGCCCAGGGATGCAGAGATTCTGTCCCTCTCGCATAGTTGATTATCATAGTGTGGAAGTGTTCTTGTGGACCAGGCCTAAGAAGCAGTGAGAACGCAGATGTGGAAGGGGTGGAAGAGCAGGGAATACTGTTTGGGAATCTGGAGTTCCACTTAGGGTGATTAAAACTGTTGGTGTGAATAACAAGATGCTGTCAAGGATGCAGTTGGGGCCAGATGCAGTGTGAATTCAACAGCATGTTCAGGAGTTGGGGGCCTTTACCTGTGGAAAACATCCTTGATAGGTGTTAAATAATCTAGTGATGCGGTTAATATGGAAAGGGACCAGAAGGAAGCAAGAACAGAGAGAGGAGGGGCAGTGAGAGCCCCTGAGGGTGTGAAGTGTGGAAGCAGCAGTGGGTATGGAGGAGCAGGGAGAGACAGGGACTAATCTGAGGTCAACTCCATGGGATTTGGTGACTGATGAGATATGCGGTGAAGAAGTCATTCCTCATTCTCAGGGACAATTCTAGGCTCCGGATTAGACTTGTTGGAGGGTGATGAAATACCTGAGACAGGAACCCAGCAGAAGGAACAGGTTTGGGAGGGGAGGGGAATCTCTGGTTTGGGGATGGCCATATTTCAGGGGTCCATGGGAAATGGGGTCTGGAATTCTGGATAATATCTGAGATGGGGACAGGGATTAAGAGGTGATTCCTTATTGGGCCATTTCAAAAGATTCCAAGGAAATCAATTGAAAACACCACCTCACCCCAACCCTCCTTTCCTGGCATCCACAATTAGCATCTCTTCTCTAAATGGCTTCTGCTGCCTTGGCGGCCACTTTGATGATTCCCCCTGCCTGGAGGACTCTGCTTTCCCTCTGTCCTCCTGGGAAAATCCTACATCTTCTTCAAGGTCCACCTCAAACATCACCCTCTGTCTCTGCTCTTCAGCAAAATGAGTTTCTCCCTCCCCTGGCACTCCAGAGCTCACTGCATGTTTATTCTGCACTCCGAAGCATGCCCTTTGTAAGTACACACACAGTGCCTCCCCCAGGCTCTCAGAAAGAGATCCTGGGGTTTTCACAGTTGATGCTGATGCCCCAATGATTTATAAGCCCAGTGCCTATAACTACTGGCTTAGAAACAGACTAGCATCTGAATGGAGACCCTATACGTCATTGAAAAAAAGGTCAGTCTCAAATGGTTTATTGTGCTGGTAAACCTGAAAGTTTCTTAGAGGTACATGCAAATGTCTGTATGAACAAACTTTATGTAGTGAGACCTCCATGGACAAGAGCAAACTTCATTAAGACTATGTGTGAAGACTTAACATGATATACTGTTTACAGCCTCGACTGAAAGACTCAGTAAATAACCTATAAAGCCAAGCTTTTCAAAGATAAGGGCTACAAGGCATAATTTTACCCAGTGTATTTTTAATTGTTGACTCTGTGACAAGTTAACAAATGGCTATGGCAATGAGAATATCTTATGAGTCTCAGGTAATGAACTCAATCCACAGTCAAATAATATTTATAGAGTTATTTATACTCAATCTATAGTACGAAAATGTTAAAGCCTCACAAAGGATACAGTAAAAATATTTATTGGTATAAAAATGCCCATAATATACTTCTACGTAAATGAAATATGTTTCAAAATAGCACGTAAAGCAGGGTCCTAATTTGTTAAGGATATCCACACACACACACAAGCATCTACATTAAAAGAAGGTACACATGTATGCTGCTGTATGAACGGTGATCCTCCGCCTATGGTGAGGTTATTACAGATATATTTAATTTACTACGTCTTAATTTCCTAAATGTCAAAATTTTTTAACATAAATACTTATTTTCTTGGTAAATAGAAATGATTACATTAAAAATAATAAAGAGTCTATGAAGAAACATGACTAACCATACTATGAACCCAGAAACTCAAAATAAGTAACCCAAGTTACATTTTTCATTGATACATTATCTTGCATTCTTCAGACTTATGGTCCTCCTGGGCATGTAGACTTTCTCTTGCATAGGGCCAGAGCATCAGGACACTGTTCTCTGCAGATGAGTGAACACAGTGTGCCACCCAGACTCAGCTATTCTGGAGTAAGTAAGTTACTACCAAGAGGTGCTATTCTGCACTTTAAAGGCTTTAAATGAGTACATGGGATACACTATTGGGTTGGTGCTGCAGGCAAGTGCTGGATGAAGAGGAGGTGTGCTTTATGCCACAATCAACAGAAAAGCAACTGTGCGCCAAAATCATGTGTTTTCAATTATCTTCATTCATTCATTCATTCATTCATCCATCAAAACCCCTACAGGGTGTCTGTTGAGTGCCACCCACTATGTGGCAGGTACTGTGTGAAGCAATAGAGCAGACATGAGGTGTATAGATTATGGTCTCTGTCCTTGTCAAGAAATTGTCTGTAGGGGAGTCAGAAAATACAAAACAGTGAGTGCTCTGGGGGCCAGAGAAGCAGGAAGGCTCATCCCATGCAGAAAATGTGTTCTTAGATGAGGTGACGTTTGAAGCATGCCTGAAAGGAACCCACCCATCAGAGAGGAAGAGGAAGGGCTCTCTGGGCAGGAGAAAGGATTCACACATATCATGTATATCCAAATGATGAGGAAAGGCATGGGACTTGAGTGGAGCAACAGGTAGGGAGTGGTGGGAGAGGAAGTGAAAGGGTAATCTGGGATTTGACCATGGTGTCTTGTAATGCAGTATCTCCCAACTCTTCACAATAGGACACATATAGAATAGAAACCATCTATTTGTACAGCACACTGGGTAAATGAAGGGACTGCGTGCAGCTGAGTGACTGTCCAGCTGCTCAGCTCCATTAGAGCCTGAGGGGATCAGTATCGTAGCATTGCTACTATGCTTTTGAGGTTGAGTGTTTTGTCCTAAGCACATGAAAAAGCCTGGACATCTTGCTGTGCGGACAGCTGCCAGGATGGGCTGTGCGTATTAGAAAGATCACTGTCAGTGGAGTGGTCTTGAGGAGCCTGAGGAAGAGAAACAAAGTCTGTTTGGCAACATTCATGGGCCCTTTATTTGGAAAGCACATTTCACTACTATTCTTACATCGATCTTGGACGTCTTGCAGAAAGCTCCCACAGGGTGGACATGGTCATAGAGGATGATGACTCCCACCATCACCCTCATGCAGAACATCAGGGTCTCTTCACTCGTAAACCTACTTCTGTACTCCCTGCAAGAGAAGAAACAGCAGCGGCATCACTTCCTTGTCAGAACATGTGCGTTCTTTGGCCCCACAACTGGATACTTTAGATGCCTCCAATCTTCTCTTGGGAACAATCCCAGACCTGCAACAACCAGTTAATATGTTCCTGAGTAAATCCATGATGATAATTCTCCTTGAATCTATTCAACCAGCAATTCAGTGTGAAAATAAGGTAAATTAAAGGGCAGTAAATTCCCTTCTCATCTGCCCTTCAGCAGGCTAGCTCATCATGTACATCACTCCTCCACCCATCAATCTTGAATATTTTATAGCAGGTCCTTCTGGCTGTCCAAGATTATAGAGAGTAATGGTTTCATTACAGAGAAAAAGAATCAGGCTCATTTCTACGGAGCAGCTATCATGTCTCCAGTAGGAGTAACTTCCTTTGTTAAAACACAGGCTGCAGATTGTATTGGATTGGCAAAAATACCTAAAAAAATTATATACCATTCATTGAGCATCCGAGAGTATTTGTAGAGTTTGAGTTTTGTTCACTTACCTTGACAGGGTCACTGATGATTCAGATAATTCAGGCCAATTCTAGAGGCTTTTTTTCTAGAGGCTTTCTTACATCTATTTCATTATGAATTGGCTCTGCAATGAAGATGATTACTATTTCTGCCTTGGAATAAATCTTAACTTTGGTACAAGTGAAATATTTGAAATTAGTGTCATCTTACATTTGGACAGGCTATCAGATTTTATAAGGTGCTTTAGATGCCTTTGGTCTTCCTAAAGACTCTGCAAAGTAGACGGCCTTATGGAAACTTTATTAGATGAGGAAACCAAGGCTCAGGGAGTCGGGCCAGTTATTTACAGGCATAGTAGGGGCTATAGACATAAGTGGCATTCAGAATTTCGAGCACAGATTACCATGCTGCTTCATCCCCAATAGTCTCAATAATTTTTAAATCTAACTAGTAGTAACTAGCTCAGGTACAAAAAAAAACTTGGAGAGAGAGAGAGAGAGAGACCTCCATTCTCACTCTTGAAACAGTCTTATCATGTCAACTCTTGGTTTTACATCTTATCTACAATATATTTACCATGATGCCCCATCATTTAACACACCCTCCATTTGGTTCTTACACATCTTCCACAGCATCTTTGATCTGAGCCTTGGTTCTGCCACCTAACAAGCTATGCAGTCATTGGGATGTCAGTCAACCACTTTGGGCCTCAGCTTCTTCAGCTATGCAATAGTGATAGTGACACCTAACACCCAGAGTTCTTAATGACATTAAAGCAGATAATATACATGAAAACTTCAAGGTGTTGACCCAAATGGTACATGTCATTAACATCATCATCTTAACAGACACTGGCTGGGTGAAGTCTCAACCACAAATACACCTCTGATTTAACTTACGGAGTTTCCAGCATGACTTTACAGACACTTGTCATTGTGCTGAGACAGTCTGTGGTGTTCTCTATTGGCAGGGTTTTGTTCTAAATAGGAGACACAAATGTACATTAGCTCTGCTTGCAGCTCTTGTATGGAATTAAGAAAAAAAGCACCTTGTTGCTCAACTTCACTTACTTCCGAGACAAAGTGCATTGTGGCATTGCTAAGGGTTTTCAGCATTGGTGTGGCTTCTGCATAGAAGAGGGACATTCTATTGGCCATTTCATTATTGACTTCATTCTCAATGTCTAGCTGATGAAAATAAGAAGAGAAGACGGATTTATAAACAGAAAGTCAAACGCTCCAAATACTCTTCTCTGGAACTGAATTACAGACAAGGACATTGTCTTCTCTCTGTGCTCTGCCTGATGCAGAAATCAAAAGAGCCACGGAGAACGGTGCCAAGTTCAAGGCGACCCAGGGACTCACGTGCATGTTGTTGATGCGGTTGCGACTGATGGTTCTTCTGTAGTAGCTGAAGTCATTCTGAATAGCCGGGTTCCTCATCTGAAATTCAGAAGACAAGAGTGAAAGTCATCTCTCAGTATCAGATGGGGGATATGCATTAGGAGCCCAGACACTGGATTTTATAAATACTCCAGGACTTCTCTTTGTTACATAAGAGCCAAAGCAACTTTTGGTTAAAAATAAGGACCCACAACTTCATTATTTTAAAATATGCCCTGTGGGCTAGATTTCAGGGAAAGTATATTTGGTCTCAATGCGGAACAGATACTTGAAAAGGTTTTCTCTGATTTCATTTGGCAGATTTAAAATTTCCATATACAAATCATCATCTTAAATTACTTTCACCACATGGAATGCAAATTCTCATCACATTATATGTCTCTCTAGGGAAGGAATTACATCTTACTCATTTCTCTACCCACCCACCCCACAGCACTAACAGAGCAGCTGTAAACAGTAGGTACTCAGTACAAGTTCCTTAAATTTTCACAGCACATTTGGCCTAACCTTCAGCTCATCGAATCGAAGGGTAAAATGTAAAATTTCGGCAAACTCCTTTGCCAGGGCCTGCTCCCTTTCCAGGTGTTGGGTTGGTGTGTAGGGTGGACAAGTCAGAGATTCCAATAAACTCTGAAGAGCTTTTTCTGAAAATCAAAGGGATAAATAGATATATTGGAGGTGGCCCAACGAAGTCCAAATAACACAATTCCCAGACTCAGTTGACAATCTCAGAGATCACCTGTTTGGGTCTTTCCCGATAACTACGTGAGGTGTGCTGCATGTGGACCAGGAAGAGAAGGAATCCCACATGACCAGGCAGGGGGTCTCCCCTGCGGAAACCCCCCATGGCCACAGTGTTTTGTAAATTTCTCTCTACGCTCAGCTGGACCTGGACATATTTAGTAATCTCAATTTCTGACACTGTGAGAAAACCACAAATACGTGTTTTTGGGTCATGTGCATGAGACAGCCATTCATGATTCAGGATGAGGTGAGACAGTGCTCTAAACACATGGGTTAGATGACTGGTTTTACAAAGAAAGACCTTTGCCCCTATTGAACTTTTCTCTGCATCTACACTAACTCAATCCCAGGAATAATTTTCTATGTACCCATTGCCCTATCTACCTCCATTATAGTTCTTGCAACAGTTTCACCACTCCCACTTGTCTGTTTCTAAACATTTCCTTATAGCTTGTTCTCCAATATATTTGTAATAGCACAGAGTCATTTAACCAATCCTCTAAAGCAGGGATTGGCAAGGTATAGCCCATCGGCCAAATCTGGTCCATTACTTGCGTTTTGTAAATAAACACAAGTTTTATTAAAACACAGACATGCTCATTCTGTTATGGAATGACTAGGGCTGCCTTTACGTGAGAGTGGCAGAGGCAAGTAGTTGCAAAAAAGACAGGACGGCCTACAACTCTAAAATATTTATGATTTGGCCCTTTACAGAAAAGACATCTGGTCTATATAGTTCTTACATAAGTTTTACAGCATTTCTACAGGGACGTCTCTGGCCTTTTTGAGATATTTCCATCTATAAGAATACACTCTGTTCTGAGGCAGCCAGTTCTACCTTGGCCTGCTCTCATAAGGAATTGTTTTCCTTCTGTACAGCAAAAGTTTGGTTCCTCAGAATTTCCGTTCACTGGGTCTACCATTTAAGCAAACGTAGAAAGAAGTCTATGTTCTCTTCTCTCTTCTATCTGAGAGTCGTCAGAAACCCTCTCTTCTTGGAAAACCAGTTTGGTTCATTCAAGTACCTCCCTTGATCTTAGCTGCTAGTCCTCTCAATATCATGGTCATTACTCCCCCAATGTATTTCAAGTTCTCTGTTTTCCTCTTAATCTGTGGCACTCATTTAATGGCAAAAGTAGAGTAGAACGTGCCTTCCTCATTCAAGATATACTATATTAACCAATGAAGCCTCCTCCTTGGGGAGTGATTCTGTCCTATTGCTGGTCATATCGATCTTATTTCCAATCAGATTTGGCATTGCTCAACATCTACAAAGCCATCCTGTACTTCCTGTGCTTGCACAGTTTTTTAAAGCTTAAGGAAATAATGTTATATTTGTTTTTCTTATATTTTACTCTATTACTTTTATCATATGACTCCAGACAAGCAAGTTCTTTGTTGCGTGCGCAGGTAAACTGTTATCTTTCAACTTCTCTGTTATTCAGAAACGTGATCAGCCTGCAGTAAAACTATTAAGAGTTGGACACAGATGAGAACAGGACCAAGAAGAAAAATCACTAGTAGAGACGCACTAAATGTGCCAATAACTTCAGGGGAAGAAACTTTGTGGTGGACTGAAAGAAATGAACATGACAAGAGTTGTTGTTCATACATGGCCTCTCATTTGACACAGTGGATGGATGTGGGGCATTTTCCAGTATGCCAAGCTGTTCCCACTACCTACTCAAACACCAAAACAGAACTCCATATGTGGGCCACGAAAACTACAAACACATACTCACCTAGTCTAATGGAAAACTCGTAAAATCTCTTTAGCCTCACAACGAGAGGGCACACTGCATTCCAAGCTTTTTCTTGAAGCTGAATGTCATTGGGATTTTGAATTGCCTACAAAAACACAGTAGCGCTGACTGGTTAAAAAGAAGCAGTAAGCTCCACATCAAAATGCCCTAAGATTTAGTTTAAAATACAATCCCTGCTATACTTTGCTGATGTATACTACTTAAATGAACACCGCTTCGTTGGACTGTCCTCTAACATGCTCATTCTGAATGGAAATTTTAACACTGTATACTACTTAAATCAACATCGCTTTAGTGGACAGTCCCCCAAGATGCTCATTCTGAATGGAAATTTTAACACTTGAACATACAGCAAGTGGTTCTACAATTACATCCTGTGTCATCTTACTTGTTTCTGTTATTTTGAATACAAAAAATTCACATCTAAGTGGGAAGAAACTCAGCCCTCTCCATCACCATTTGACTCCTCTAAAGTGGAATTAGTGCTCATTATAAAGTGCAAATTCCATAGACATTTCCCTTCTCTTTAATAGGTATTGCATTCCTGCCAGTTTGTAATGTTACCTAAATTACCTAAATTAAATGGTGACCCCTAAGTAGAAAAATCACCTCTTACTAGACTGTTACTTTCTTAGAAACTCCGCCGTGTCTGAGTTTCAGCAACTTGAGGATTATAATGGTGGTGGTGGTGTGCTTTTCAGAAGCATGGGGGCAGTGGCAGTACTGTGTGCATGCCTGCATGTGTACGTGTGTGTGTGTATGTGTGTATTTGCATGCATATATGTATGTGTTGGTATTGCCACAAAACTAATGCTTTCAAATAAAAAGAGTGTGAAGTTTCCTGCTTTTAAGGTATTGGGAAGTTGCAAAAATCAAAGTGGTGATTTTCTTTTTTGTTTTTGTTGTTGTTTTGTTTTCTGTTAATTTTAGAAAATCTCACAAGACATTTGAGATGACAAACTGAAAGCAAGGTGATTTTGGCTCTTGTGTATCACACTGGTGGAACCTGCCTGAGTAATTATCAAATGCCGGAAAGTACATGTCCACCCAGACTTCACGGTCCATATTTCAACTGTTGTTCACAGACTTTACATTGTTTCCCTTAAATGAAATAATATATTGACACGTTATTGTTTAAATGTGAGTCCTGCAATATCACTTGTGTGTTTAGGAAGAGAATGGGTAATGTTAATCTATAGCACTGTGTGTGCAGATTAATGCATTAGAATAAAAGGGGCCATTCATGCTTTTTTTTAACTTTTTTTTTTTTTTTTTGAGATAGAGTTTCACTCTTGTTGCCCAGGCTAGAGTACAATGGTGCGACATGCAACCTCAGCTCACTGCAACCTCCGCCTCCCGGGTTCAAGTGATTCTCCTGCTTCAGCCTCCCGAAGTAGCTGGGATTACAGGCACCTGCCACCATGCCCAGCTAATTTTTTTTTGTAGTTTTAATTGAGATGGGGTTTCAACATATTGGCCAGCCTGGTCTTGAACTCCTGACCTGAGGTGATCCACCCACCTCGGCCTCCCAAGGTACTGGGATTATAGGTGTGAGCCACTGCGCCTGGCCCATGCATTTTGTTTTTAAGGACACATTACCCTCCTTGTTCTTCCTGGTACTCTAGGAAATACTATAGCTGTTACTTAATCTTGCTGTGTATGTCTGTGTGCATGTGTGGTTTTCCCTTCGCTCCTCTGGTGTTGTCAGTTCAGTATGATCATTAACATACGTCTCGGATCTCTGGGCCTGCGCCTTTGTAAGCCTGCAGGTCTGCAAGGATGCTCTCAGAATCCTGAAGGACGGCGCTGATCTGGTTCCAGATTTCTCTCTCTCCTTCTGTAGGCTGAGCATCTAAGAAACAGGGAAACCAAGAGACACAGAATGCTGGTGTTTACAAATAGCTTGGGAGGAGGATGGATATTCAGTTTTACCTGCTTGACAATCCTATCGTATTCCTGCTGCTCTGGTATTTACCCTTTAACCTAATAAGCTGCTAGGAAGGGAAAACTGACACAACTTTTGCCCATTACTCAGTTCAAAATAGTCAATGATATTTTTATAGTCATAAAACAAGCATACAGGAATCATTATAGTCACTTATTTATGTGGAACAATGTTTTTGCACACCTCCTATGTAAAACAGTATACTGGGTGATAGAAAGAATAAACATTGTGTTATTGAGACCACATTTTTTGGTCTTTTTATTATTTTATTATTTTTTCAATTACCATTTTTATTGTGGTTAAATACACAAAACATAAAATTTACCATCTTAGCCACTTTTAAGTGTACTGTTCATCGATATTAAATACATTTATAATGCTGTACAACCATCGCCACACTCCATCTCCGTGACTCTTTTCATCTTGTAAAACGGAAACTCTGTATTGGTCTTCTTTTTAAAGGAGAAACAACTGAATATTTCTGCTTTGATTGAAAATATGTGAATCTGAGTGTAGATGGGAAAAACAGTCTGCCTTATATTTCCATATTTAAAAATATGCTTGAAAACTGGATAACTAAAATCCTTCAAATCACGACATATCATTCCTGAACACATGGGTGTGTAGAAAGCACTTCTCATTGAACCTGATCTCATGTTCAGGAGGTTTGGCAAAGACATGCAGGGAGTTCATTTTAAAGACAAATGTTCTGTTTATCTTTGGTCTTGACCATGACTGTTACCCACAAAAATAAGTGATACACTGAAGCTTCCATAATGAAAACAATATTCTAACAGTCACAGAAGCACCCACTTGATTACCTTCCTGGAGCCAGTATATATTGTTCCAGCGATCATTTCATGGGAGCTGGTAGGTGCTGGTGGAGAGGTAGTAAAGATTGGGTTTTATTTATCTTGCAGTTCCTATGCAATAGGTTATCTCCCCGGCCTAGTAGGGAAGCTCATCTCTCCATCTAAAACAAAGGCACTGCTCACGGAGAGGCGACAGATGTTATCTTGTAAAACTCTGTTTTCAAATCTCCAGATCCTGAGGCACTGCATGCTTGCAGCAGACCTCACTAACAGAGGGTGAAGGCTGAGTTTACACCTGGTCTAACCCTTCCCAGATCAAATCTCAGTTTTAACTAATCCTTGTGGAAGTACAAAGGGCTGGTCCTGCAAGACGGTTTTTCACCAGTGTTTCTCTGGGGGTAAAACAGTGTTTCTCTGGGGGTAAAACTGGCCAGTGTTTCTCTGGCCGGGCGCGGTGGCTCCCAGCACTTTCAGAGGCCGAGGTAGGCAGATCGTGAGGTCAGGAGATTGAAGCCATCCTGGCCAAAATGGTGAAACCCCATCTCTACTAAAAATATAAAAATTAGTTGGGCATGGTGGTGCATGCCTGTAGTCCCAGCTACTTGGGAGGCT